TATATTATATAAATATACTATAAATGTTAATTCATACACGCATCTCACACAGATATACACGAAAACATACGCGCGTATTCATTATTTCCCCCTTTTTATTATTTTATTTTTATTATATTTTTCGTCCATTCACTGTCTACTACGTATACATACATACATACCTAAATCCTGTAATGTAAAAATAATGTTTTATTGTTTTTGTGCAATTTTCATGAAAAGTATTTATTTCTTTGTAGAGTAATAATTATAATTGTCTTCTTGTAAATAGTAATAAATATAAGGACATTGATTTGCGCTGTATTATGGAGAAAGAAAGTTATATTTATGAGAACGCGGTAAAAATAGAAAGAGGAAAGTAAGTTTGCTTGTGATATTGGTGCACACGGTTCAACAGTATTATGGCAATTAAAAAAAGGAAAAATTGGGAAAACGGCAACAGAACGCTGCTGATGCTATTGCTGACGGCGATAAAGATATACGAAACGTCGTCGTTCGTATTCGTCGATCTCGTTTAGGAAAAATTAAATAAAAAAGAAACATTGTCGAGAATCTCACATGCGGTATATAGATATACATATATGATGTTTCAAGGCCTGTTAATTTCATCTCCCTCCCACCGAAGTTGCTTCTAAGGTTTGGGTCTCGATATACGACAACTTCTGCATGTCATCTGAAGATAATGGACTATTGTTTATTTTTAATGTGTTTTTTGTAGCTGCCCTGTACTAAATGAAGCACTGTCTAATGTTAACATTATAATTATAATAAAATGCATTTAATATAATGACTTTCTCTGTAACTGGAACTTTTATAGGTCTCAGACTACCAAATGCAAAATATTGTTAGTAGATATATGTTAGATTCCTTTTTTCTAGTAAAATGTTTGCTTTTTAAACTAGTATTTGTTTTTTGTTTTATTTATGTTTGCGTCTTATTTTTAGATATTAAATGAGGACAGTTTATTGAAAATATTTTACTTGAACATTGTAAGTTTCTTCTATTTCTTAGGTTTTATGTTTTAAATTCAAAGGGATCAGTAATAAACAGCAAGATTTGACATCGTTTGGACATAAGCATATAACATGGACACGTGTCCTTATGATTGCTGTGGAAATTAAGAGATACTTCTCCAGCTTAAATTTTTGAGGACCATGTTTTAAATATCGTTAGCGTCTTCCCTTCCAGTTTCCAATGCGATTATAAAAACAGGTAATCCCTTAATTTTCTATAATACTGCGTTTTAATTCTGATTATAAAGCAGCAGAGTAAAAATCCCCTACTAATTTGAAAGTGTGAAAGGAATTTTCAACCAAATAATTCCAAAAATTCAACATAAATTATTTTATTTGAAATATAAGTAAAATTACTTGATACTTTTTTGTGAATATTATATATTGGAAATAAGTAAATGAACTTATTCATAATATATGGATGAGAAATGTGCTCTAATAATTAACAGGAAGGAGAGAATATAACGGAATATTCTTTTTATAATTTCAAGAGTAAATTTGTCTGCATGAACATGAAATGTATATATACTTCTGTAAACAAAAACGTAAAATTAGGAGTTTAAGATACTGTTTAAAAGGCAAATATCTTTCGTTAAGAGTAAGAGAGCACATTTTTAACATACATAATATTCTAATTTTCTTGTCATTACATATTTACATATTTTCCTTAAAATGTTAAAAAGACAAGTATAGGAAGAAGATTATCAATAAACATTTTTGGTTCACTTGTTAGATATCGACTGGAAGAACATCGGGTATTAGGTAACTGCACAGTTCCATTTCAGAGCCAATAAATTTTACTTTATTTGCTGTGTTTTCATCTAGCCTGAAGAACACAAAAATATGTATGTATAATACGACAAATTTTTCTTCTATTTTAAATTTACAAAAAATAATTACCATCCTTTTATGATGGCCCAACACCCTGAAAATACAGCTGAAGAGTTTAAAATTAAACAAACTCCTAATCTTTCAGGATAATGACGACTAAATAACCATATTAAGTTTTTTAAAACTTGGTAATCCATGCATCCCAGGTTAAAGTCTTTCAGATCAAATATAATGCAAAAATTGTCAATAACCTCTTCAAAACATTTTTTACTTGCCTCTTCCTATTTAGATATAAAATTCTAATTCTAATTAGTTTTACTTACATTTAAAACTTAAAAAAAGTATGAACATACCAAGCAGAAAACAATAAATTTTGTCAATTCATCAATATCTCTGTCTGTAGAACTGTGATATTTTACAGGAATATAAATAATGGGCCTTCCTTGTAAATCACGATGTCTTAACACTCTGGCTTTATTAGCTTTCATGTTGCTGACAACAGTAGGGGTTTCATTTGTTAATTGGTCTACACCGTATTCCTTTCTCCATTTATTTGTCTTTAAAATTCCCTAAAACGTTTATTCCCCCTAACAATTTGTATAATTTTTTTTTAATTGCATTAATACCTGAAAGGCTGCATCAGTAGTTTTAAATGCCTTTAAATATCGTCTTATTGAAAATTCATTATGGTATTGTGAAGGGTCTGCTTCTGATATTAATTTCATACGAGACTTTAGCTCCTGTACATCTTCTTCTTTAATAACCGACATTTTTACAACACAACAATATTTAACAGTAGCAAATATAATTCATTTTGCAATAACAAATTTAAATGAATACAATAAACATAACCTCTTATATCTTAACCAAATATCTTTTATCTTTATATCTTATCTGTTGGCCACTTGAATAATACTAAGCATCTATGTACTAAGCCTTTAATGTGTCCGGATCATTTTATTCAAATATTTAAAATTAATCTACCTACAAATGACTTTTTAAATGTAAAGAGATATTAGTTAAAATTAACAATGGTATATTTTATTGAATTTCTATAATTTTTGAACATATCGCCTTTCATTCTGTTGTTGCTCAGTAGTAAATTGTATTTGTGGATGGTTTGATGGTAATGGAATAACTGCACTGCATACGGTTTAAGAATTCAATTTGATAAACTAACACATTATTTTAAATTAATTGGAAATGTGTCAGCATATTAAAAAACCATTCTCCAGAATTTTAAAAATTAATTGAATACAATATTTTATTTGATGATAGATGGATATTTTTGAACGTATCCAAAGCTCATTCTCGTGTTCAATGGGTAATCTATTATCTATGAGATGGGTAATTGTGTAAGTATTGTTTTGCTGAGTATCTGTGAAATGTCACCTGGCTATTGTGTTTTGATGTTAGTGTATTTAAAGTGTATTTAATATAGGTAGAATTTCAAAATCTGTAATTGAATTACCATATTTTATTTGTTGATTGATTAATTTTCAAACGTATCCAATGCTCATTCTCTTGTTCCATGGATAATTGTGTATCTATTGTTCTGCTGTGTATATGTTACGTTTTATAATTTACAGTTGGTTTTGTTTGCTGATTTTCATGTATTGTTCATTAATAGTATAGCTAATTCCTTTTCTCATAATTTCTACAGATTGGCCTGTTATTGAAAGCATATTGAAGTTTCTTTAGATAATACTAAGTATCCTCTGATGGCTATCTGTACGATGCTAAGTTCTTAGTTTATTCTTGTTTTCTTCACTTGGAAACATTTTGTATATCTTTAAGGTAAGAATGTATGTCCTAATTAGAATATCACATTATAATAAGGTGGTCAAATTAAGTAGTTACCGAGTTTCATCAATGTATAAGTTCATCTTTTTGTACCAGATTACCTTCTGAGTATTTTTCATGGACGATGGACTTGACCTGTTGTTGACGCCTACAGCTTACAACATTATGCAATTTATTTTCAACAATTCACAACATGGTAGTATTTAAAGGAAACGTGGAACTGCCTTTTGTCTTTGCCTTTTATGCTAGCAGGCAACATGTTAGTTGTATGGTGTATGTGTTGAGTGACACCAGAACAGAGGTATGTGACAACATTTATGAAAGATAATTAGACATTGATAAAAGAGAAATTTTTGCAATTGTACAGCATAAAGCATTAGAATTTAGTTTAAGTAAGAAATCGCAAAAAATTAATAACATCCCGTTGTAATTTATTTGTTAATAAAATTGCAGTTCAGTGACAGAAAAGAAGCATATTTAATCAGTTATGTTATAATTTTTATTATTAACAAATCGTGAATTCATAACTAATTTCAAGGAAAAAATTATAGGTAATTAATAACATCGATTAAAATATATTTGAAAATAAAACAGCAGTTCAGCGACACAGAAAAGAAGCCTTTTCATGGCATAATTTTTTCTTGGAAATTTATTATAAACAAATTTTCAATTTATAACCGATTTCAAAGGAAAAATCGTAAAAAATTAATAACAATTGTAATATATTTCAGTTCAGCGCCCTAGAAAAGAAACTTTTTTAAGCATTCATGACCCCTAGGAAATTTGTTATAAACAAATAATGAATTTGTAACTGATCACATGCGAAAAATCGTAAATTTTAATTGCATCAGTTGTAATGTATTTGTTAATAAAACAAGTGGTTTAGCGACATAGAATTTGTTGTAAACAAATTATGAATTTGTAACTGATCGTTTTTATTTCTTGATAAATGAATTTCTCCCTTAATAAACAAACTAAAAATNCCTATTAAGGCTGTTTTTTTTATAAATAAATTAATCCTGTATTACACGAGGTGAAACTTTCAAAATTGTAGAGTATTACTTAAAAGGAGTTTGTAGTTGAAATTACCGGGGTGCACTTTCAAACTTTAATTTAAAGACATCGCTTTTTATTTCTCGATAAATTAATGGGGTACACACATATAAAATTGTGGCTAAAATTTACTAATGAATATTTTAAACCCTTTTTCTGAAAACGGAGACTACTGAAAGAAGTATAACTCTTACTGCTGTCTGACGATGAGAATACTCTGCAGTACAGTGGGTTGCATATATGAAGGACTAGCAATTATGAGCAGTGTTTAAAAGAATTAAATTTAAATTATAATGCCTTCGCGGGAAATAAAATGAGTGCGCTGTAGTCTAATTAAAGATAGAAATGTTACAGTGTGAGTCGGATTTTGTAAGCAACTAAATTTTCGGATTTTAATAAAATAATCTAAATATATTTGATACATCAGCAGTCTATGAAAGTAATTATGATTTTACAACACAACAGTGTTGATGTAAATGAATATTTTTCACTTTGTTTTGTATATTTCTCTAATTTGGGCATTTTTATCTCGTATCCTGCACATTACATTTTTTTATAGGATTTCTGAGTTAGTTACAAATGCGGACAAAAAACTGTTAGCTTTTTTTGAGAAAATTGTTATGAAGGTATAAAAATGTAATAAGCTAACAATAGTAAAGGAGATAGACGATTCTTAATCAGAAATAGCTATTGTTTCAAAGGAAAAGTAATGTAAAAAATTGCATTCCAATGAAAGGAAAGGGAGTTTTAGTGATAAAACAACCCCTCGTAAAAGAATGGCATGCCCCTTTTGTTGGCACAAGAATGGAAAAATTAGCTGTGATTTTGAATTATTTCACCGAGAAATAACTGTTTCTATTTAAATGTGTGTGAAGATAAACTTTCAGAATGGAATATTGAATTCATTCGTTAAGAACAAAGTTTAATAGTTGGATTAACTTTAAAATTAATTTACAATTTTTTGAATGAAACAGTGAAATTTTGTAGAAATGCGTACATTTGTTGTTATTACATGAATTGATACAATATTGTCGTTAATATATATTTTTTTNCATACCGTCTCAAAATGGGAACAGACATGACACAGATACTCAAGATAACAATAGATACAGAATACAAAAATGAGACCATTCCTGTAATCTAATGGTGCATGTAATCACATTCTGTGGTTCGTCATGGATAGTCTTAACCTTATTTTGAATAAAATTAATTTATTATAAATTGATACAAGTAGTTAAAATACACTAAGTTTTGCAGTTTTATAAGGATAATTTTCTGTAATGGTGTATCAGTTTCTATTAATTTACGAATTAAAGTGAGTTAGTATAATTGAACGCACCTATAAAATCAATTATCAATGAATTATAGGTATAGGAGAAGTTTTCATCTATGAGCTTCCGGCTCGTTTCGTCTTCACTATCTACGATCTTCATTTTGTCTTCGGTTTCGGAAAGGAGGATATGCCACCATTTTTGCTGTTCATAAATAGAAACGACACCTAAAGGTATTTAGTCCTAATACTTATTCAAATTTCATTTGATTGTGTGGAATGCGTTTTAATTTAGCGTTTGATTGGTTTCAATTAGCGTTGCTTCGATTTTTTTTATGGGAATGAGCGTGTTGGCTTCGTGCTCCAGCATAAGTCTTTTTTTGCCTGTTCACTCATCTAATGTTAATTGTAATATATTCTTGGTTTATTTGAGGCTGAATAATTAGGGTTTTGTTAGAATCTTTGAATTTTGAAAACAGATTTAGAGGATGTTTTTAGATTTTTCATATGGATGTGACCACGCCGCGGAAATTTGCCTTCGTTTTATAGTCAAAATATGTAAAATAAACCTGAAAACCATTATTCTGCTTTTAAAAATCTAAATTTCTGTTAAAAAAATTATCACTTTTGCCTTGTTATTGTATAGATTGGGTTTTAACGACTTATGTTTTTTTCTGTATATAGATTTGCTTTGAGATGATATCCTTGGATTCGATGGACAACTACTTGTAGCAACCAGACATGTTTTTATTTCCAAGAATGCTTGTAATGAGCTGGTCAAAAAATTCATAGGACGCAGGGTGCTAACAATGGTAATCATCATTAATAATAAAATAACAAATCTAGTGAACATACAACTAATTATATTAAATTGTTTTAACAGGTTTATATTAAAACATAATAAATGTACATGGAGAAGGTAAATCAAAGGGGAAATGTGGAGAAGCAAGGTCTCCAATCATG